TGGTAATGGGCACCCATAGTGGACAGTGTTGGCTGGAGCTTCCCAACTAAATCAAGCATGGAAGCAGGAGCGGCATCCACTTCCAAAATGGCTTGCCTCTGGAAACTCTATGTACGAACAGTGCTCAGGCTGTTCGTTCATAGGGTCGCTATGAGTCGTCTACGACTCGACGGCATTAAACAACAACAAAATATATATATATAAAACAAGATTTGATCACTATTTTTCTTTTGATTATCTGGAAGCTTTCTTAAAATATAACCTGACTCCTTTCAATTTGGATGCTTTAGCAATCACTGAAAAAATTAAGATTTTAGTAAGAAAATTCAAAAGTTGATATAACATTGATAGGCTATTAATTCTACACCTTTACAAATAGGCTGCCCCTTTCATAACATTACAGACTCACGACAACTTGTTTGATATATGAAGATCTCCGCAGAATGGAAATTTAGTCTCTATTCAAGTAAAGGAGGAAAAATAATTACTATTAAATGGAATTTATATTTTATAATAAGTAACCAATAAAATGTTCATGGAATTTTTTTATATCTAATTGTCATACCATTAGCTAGGATTTCTTCCCGTATCAATTAGGCAAAAACACAGAATACATCGATTTATCTTTATGATTTAGAAGACAGAATATATCAAATAATAGTTGGCTATTTTCTTACTTCCCAAGGATTGTGTTGTACCTGGAAAGGCAGTCACTTGCTAGTAGGAGATTTTGTGGCAGTAGATATAATGGATGTGGAATTATGGTTCTCAGGGAGGGTCTACGGGGATAAGTATTAGAATCATCGAGGGAAGATAAATTTTTGGCAGATAAAATACATTTTCTGCAACATACTACAATTTCAAAAAATAGGGTTCCTGGAACTTCCTTTCATAAGCTTAGTTGAAAAATCCTATTGTAGGTAAATTGTAGGGATATGTGTGACCTATGAATTTCACAAACCTATACTTGGACCAGGAGGCAGTCTTCAGAATAGAGCGAGGAAACACTGCATGGTTCAAAACTGAGAAGGGTGTATGCCAGGGATGTGTCCTATGTCCATACTTTTTCAGTCTGTATATAGAACAGATTACTGGAAGGCTGGAATGTATGAGGTGAAATGTGGCATCAAGACTGGAGGAAGATTCATCAACAATCTGTGTATGCAGATGACACAATCCTGCTTGCTTAAACTGAGGAGGACCTCAAGCGCTTGCTGAAGAAAGGTCAAAGACTGCAGCCTTCAATATGGATTGAGGTTCAATATCAAGAAAACAAAGAATCTCAACACTGGGCCAGCTCCTTCATGATAGATGGTGAAGAGATTGAGATTGTTAAGAGCTTTAGTTTGCTTGGCTCCACAATCAACACTCTTGGCACCAGCAGACAGGAAAATAAAAGACATAATGTGATGGGAAAATCTGCTGTTAGAGACCTCTCCAGAATACTGAAGAGCAATGATGCACATCTGGAGACTAAGCTGCATCTGATACATGCCATGGTCTTTGCAATCACTTGCTGTGCATTAGACAGCTGGACAATGACATGAGACGATAGAAGAAGAATTGATGCCCTTGAACTATGGTGGTGGAGTTGCCATGGACTGCTTAGAAAATGAACAGGTTTATCCTAGATAGGATGAAACCAGGCTGCTCCTTGGGGGCAACGTTTCTGAAGCTTCATCTGACATACTTTGGACATGTTACAAGGAGGGACTAGTTCTTGGAGAGGGACGTCATTCTTGGGAGGGTGGAGGGACAGTGCAGGAGAGGAAGATCCTCAGTGAGATGGATTGATTCAGTGGCTGGGGTAATGGGGGTAGGTGTGTCAGAGATGGTGAGATTGGCATAGAGTAGAGCAGGGTTCAAAGCTGTTGTACATATGGTCGCTATGAGTCACAGGTGATTTGACGACACTTAACAACTACAACAACATGTGACCTATATCCCAGACTTCATGGGAATATAGACATATATCTATAACCTGTGTAGTTTAGTGGATAATTGGTTAATACCATAGTTTTGTTAGAATTCTTTAAAATGCGATTAGCTAGTATACTGAAAGAACAAATTTTTGCCTGGTAGTTGTTTATTCTTCCAGTACATTACCATAAAATAGAAATTAACTCAGATTATTAAAGCTATTTTAAAAAGAGATGCTGTATTTATCGTCTAGTACTATTAGCCTCAGAAATTGCTCTCTAGCCTTGTACACCTATATACATAATGCACCTGTTAATATTTCATTCCTGAAACCTATTCTCAGGAAAAGACCTATTGGATTATATTTCAGTATATGCCTGACTGCATTTCAGGCAATGCTTTGAATTTGGCTTACGCTGAAGATATGAGGAGTTTGATTTTACAATTGCAAACCTCTATTTCCAAACTCCATGACACATGAAAAATTTCTTAGTAATGATATTAGAGGTGGTAGTGGAAGTGAGCTGGCGAGAGAAGATTGGGAGGGTTGGTGGTCTTTTGGTTAATAACATCGGGGGAACCCTGAGTTCACTTTAGGGGTAGCTCCCATTCTTTAATGCTAAGTCTATGGTAAGTACTATAAGAATTGCTGTCATTGCAGTTAAGATCATGCAGTTCTTCTTGTAGTTGCATTTTGTGAATTATTAAATTGAAGAATTAACTGTTAATGAATGTCAACTTGATATATCTGTCACAGGAACATGGAGGGATTCTAAAATACTTAATTGTTGGAATACCTAAGTTGAAGGGGTATAGTACAACATATACTTGTCTACACATCTCTTAAAGTTTATGTGAAGAAGAGAAAATGGTTTATGAGTTAAAGTCTATGAGATTACTTGAAAAAATAGAATTTGTAATGAAAATGGTCACTTAGTGGTAAGAAGTTGCACTCCTAACCCAAAGGCACATGGTTGGAATCCATCACCTGCTCTGCAGGACAAAGAAAAGCAGTCTCCTTCTCCTTCTGTGTGATTAATTATCTCTGAAAATCCCTGGAGGGTTAGCTATGTGCTGGTACATAACAGTAACAATCAGTTAAAATTTAATTATATTATTATTGCTATTAGGTGTCCTGCATCATTGAAATCCTCTTTTTACTCAATTTCAGGATGTTGAACACATTATTAACATAATTAAAGATCAAATGAGACAGATAAAACCACTTCCCCAAAAGATTAATAATTTTATTTCATATATTATTGTTATTGTGGAACATAGAATAAAATCAACCCATAACTGACTCTCTGGAGGGTTTTTTGAGGCAGTTAATCACACAGGAGGAGATTGCCCATCCTCCCACAGAGGAACAGGTGGCTTCAAACCACGCACTTTCGAGAACTCAGCTCAACTTCTTTCCACTAAGACACCAGAGCTCTCCTTGTATATTATTATTATAATTTTACTGGGAAAAGCAAGAAAACAACAATAGAAAAATACACAAAAGATTTTTTTTAAAAAAGAAGAGAAATTCTAAACATTAAACAAACATAGGCAAATGAAATTTTTTCTTTTCTTTTAACAGACCGTTAAGTGAATAGTAACATATAATATTGACAAGTGTGCAATGAGAGAGAATATTGTCTTTTTGAATAGTGAGTTAGTTAAATAACATAATTCTAGGAAAATAAATTTGACAATATATATTTAGAGTCTTAAAAATCTATTACTTTAATTTGAAAAAAAAATTTCTAAAAGTGAGCTGACAAAGGTTTATGTTTAAATTTGTTAACTAAAGCTATATTTGTAATGAAATAAAAGGTTTAAAAACTATAGAATGGTTAAAATGACATTTACATAGATCCAATAAAATGTGGGATGCCATTGACTATTTTGAATTCTTAGTAGAATTATAAAATGCTTTTTATGTTAAGTAGATAAAGAAAATATAAACTGCAAACATGCAGTCTAAATTACATGTGGCACAATGGAAGAAAGACTATAAGAAAATAGAAATGTGAATGGTTGCCTCTAGTTATAAGATAATTTGTGATTTAGATTTATTTACTTATTATTTAAGATTTAGTTTTATCATTCTTTCCTGTAATATTCAAGTTTTGCAACAAATATAAATTATTTTATGAAGTTAGAAATGCAATTTCGTGTTCAGAAAGTACATTTAAAATCATGTCAGTGTCAATTAAAATTGCCTTGTAAATAGCATGCTTTCCCAGTGATTTAAATTGAGATTCAAAAGATTAAAGGAGATCTAAGTTTACCTGTTGAAGACACTAGAGTTCTGTCACCATCTTCCAATGTCTCCTCTGTAGTTATTTCATCTTTTCTAAGAACAGAATAGAAAAGCAAGAGATAATTAGAAGTAGCTTGATGATGATAGCAGAAGTGCATTTTAATTTGTCTATACTACTTTGACCTTTTCAATCTTTATGCAAAAAGATTAGCTGGGAGGCGGGGCTCTGTGAGGAGAAATGTGACATGAGAATTGGAGGTAGACTCATCAATAATATGCGTTATGAAGATGACACAACCCTGCTTTCTGAAACTGAAGAGGACTTGAAGCGCTTGGAGCAGAAGGTCAAGGACTGGAGCCTTCAATATGGATTGAAGCTCAACATCAAGAAAACAAAGATTCTCACCACTGGGCCAATTGGCAGCTTCGTGATAGATGGTGAAAAGACTGAGATTATTAACAGCTTTAGTTTGCTTGGCTTCATAATCAACACTCTTGGCACCAGCAGCCAGGAAATGAAAAGACATATTGCGATGGGGAAGTATGCTGTCAGGGACCTCTCCAGAGTACTGAAGAGCAACAATATCAGTCTGGAGAATAAGGTATGCCTGACACAGGCCATAGTCTTTGCAATTACCTGCTGGCATCAAAAAGCTGTACAATGTCTAGGGATGATAGGAGAATTGATGCCTTTGAGCTGTGGTTCTGGAAAAGAGTAATGAATATACCATGGGCTACTAAAATAACAAACAGGTTCATCCTAGAGAGGGCTGCTCCTTGGAGGAAAGGATTCTGAAGCTTAATCTGACACACTTTGGACATGTTGCAAGGAGGGACCAGTCCTTGGAGAGGGACATTATGCTTGGGAGGGTGGAGGGACAGTGAAAGAGAGGGAGATCCTCAATGAAATAAATTGTTTCAGTGACTGGGATAATGGGGGGACGTGTGTCAGATACAATAAGATTGGCACAGGATAGAGCAGGGTTTAGGGATGTTGTTCATACAGTCAATATGAGTTGCAGGCAATTTGCTGGCACATAACAACAACATGTTGACCTAAAATTAGAGAGAAAATACACACTTTAAAACCAATATTTTCTTCTTGTTGTTAGGTGTCACTGAGTTGCCGATCACTCATAGTAATCCTATAAAAAACAGATCTGAACCTTTCTCTATCCTGTGCCATCCTTACCATCTCTGATATACTTGAGGTCATTGTTACAGTCACAGTATCAATTTATTATTGAGGATATTCCTCTCCTTTGCAGATCTTCCACCTATCTAAGCATTAAGTCTTTCATTAAGGACAGGCCTCTCCTAACTATATGTCTAAAATAAGTGAGATGAAGTTTCACCATCCTTGGCTCTAAGGAGGAAAATTGGTTTCACTTTTTTTCAGGACATATTTGTTTGTTTGTTTTTAGCAATCCACAGGATATCCAGCAATCTTCTCTAACACCACAACTCAATGGCATCAATTCTTCTTCTGTAATTCATTCATGGTCCAGCTTTCAGATGCATAGCAAGTAACTGAAAAGACCACAGCCTGGATCAGGCACACCTTAGTCTTCATCAACTGACATCATTACTCTTTAGTACTTTGAGGAGATCCCTGGCCTCCCTTTGCTGATTTTCGCTATGCAGTATGTATTTTGATCTCTTTTACTGTTCGTAGCAAAGGTGTCCAAGCAACTTATCTAGAAGAAGATTGTCTTTGTTTTCAAGGTTTTCCACAAGCATCTTGGCATCATATAGCCTTAGGTTGTGTTTTGTAAAAGGCAAAATTGGTGTTTGGGCTTAACGTTTTATAGTCTTACTGCAATTACACAGTGTCTTTTCTAGAAAAGATCAATTGCTGCCATAACCTGTGACCAAAATATCCTTGCTAAAATTCTCAGATCCTTGATACCTTAAAGAATCTTACAAACTCAAAACCATTCAATTGATCCTGACTTAGAGTGATCTTGTAGGACAGAATAAAACTCCACCCCAGCCCTCTTGGAATTTTTTTATCTTTATTGAAGCAAACTGCTTCATATTTCTTCCACAGAATAACTGATGAATTTGAACTATTGACCTTCCGGTTAGCAGCCAAAATACTTTAAACTCTGCATCACAAGGGCCCCCATAGAGTCCTTGTGTTATTATTGTTGTTTGTTGTTAAGTTGGAACCGACCCATAACTGACTTTCCAGGAGGATTTCAAAGTCAGTAAATAGCACTGAAGATTGGTCATCCTTCTCTTGTGGAACAACTGGTAGATTGAAACTGTGCACTTTAATTAACTTAAGCAAGGTAGAGATCTAGTATTATTACTGTTATTTTTTTATATTGCTTCTGACTCAAGGCAGCTTTACTGATTGAAACACTAGCCGTGTCATCTTCAAAATTGTAGCAATGTTTGAGTGCATGACTGCAGTCTCATTTTCTTGATGAATCTTATTGATGGTCTTCTACTTTTTCATGAACCTTTTACTTTAACAAGCATGATGTTCTCCAGGGATTGTTTTTCCTGATAATATATTCAAAGTATAGGTATGCTGTTGTTGCTATGTACCGTTGGAGCAGAAGCAACTTTTTGCTGACGCTTCAGCAGGGTTTTGGAAATTGTCTATCATACTGGAGGAAATTGCCTATCTTTCTCCCATGGAGTTACTGGTGGAATGCAGCTAGTTCGCACTGAGTTGGCAGCACAAAGTCGCACCATAGGCCTCCATATTCTGAACACAATATTTCTTAGTCTGTTTGCCTGTGTTGTAAGAGGCCAGAAAGTTAAGGGAGGTTTGCAATACCATGGAGGAGCAAGCTGGGAAATATTACAGGAGTAGAGTCAAGGGTGTGGTTATAGAGTTGTTAATTTCTTTATATATATGTATTTTTTAATTAGGAAAGTAATAGTGGCAATGATGTGTTGAAATTCCAGAATAGTAGCAGCTTGCCAAGCTATCTGATCATATTGGCTTATAATGAGGGTTTTAACCTCAAAAGGTATAACAAAGTTCCTTTCCTGGTGTTGTGTTGTTTTCTAAGTTAACCATAAACTGGCATGGGCTCTCACCAATCAGAAAAGATGTCTACTGTCATCATACACAGCCATTTTGGTGCATATAGGCTACCTATAAACTCAGACTCAATAGTGAAATTAGAATTATATATTCCTGCTTGTTTAACATTTAAAAAATTTTATATTGATTTATTTACAAAGTTTGAATATGTTTTCACATAAGATCTTTCCCATTTCCATCATCTCCCTACTCATCAAATTGTGAAATCCTATGATTAACACCACCCCCTGTCTATCCTCATTGCTCTGAATCCACCATAACTCCTGAATCCTCAGACTCATTCTACAATAATGGTTTTATACAGTATTTGTCCTTGTAGAATTTTAATTTGGTAGTAATTTACAAAATCATTAGTCCTGTGTGCTGCATAGTATTTCATTGTATGAATGTATCACAACTTCTCAATCTGTTCATTTGTGATAGGACATCTCGGTTTTTCCCTTTTTCTTATGATGGTGAATAGTGCTGCTATTAACATAGGCGTACAAGATTCCATTTGAACCTCAATTTTAATTTTCTTGGGGTATATTCCAAGCAATGGAATAGCTGGGTCACATGGAATTTCTCTGTTCAGCTTTTTGAGGAAGTGCCAAACCATTTTACAATCCCTCCAAAAATGTATAAGAGTTCCTATCTCTTCACATCCTCTCCAACATTTATTACTAACTGTCCTGTTAAACTTTGTCACTGCTACTAGAGATGGTATCTCATTGTGGTTTTGATACTCATCTCTCTTATTGCCAGTGATTTAAATAATTTCTTCATATGTCTGTTGGTCATTTGATTATCTTCCTATGTGAAAATTCTATTTCTTTTGCCCATTTTGTAATTGAGTTATCAATCTTTTTCTTGTGGAGACCCAGAAATATTCTATAAACATTTGTTATGAGACTCTTGTCTGAGATGGTATTGACGAAATTTTGTTCCCAGTTGGTAGGTTTTCCATTTCACCCTGTTGGAAAAAGTTTTTGATGCACATAGAGATTTACTCTTTAGAAGGTCCCATTCATCATATATTCTTATTTTCTTGTTGGCATTTATTTGCTGTTTTGGTTGCTTGTGAGTAAGCTCTGAGTTATGGTAACCTTGTGTGTGACATAACAAAACGTTGCTTGCTCCTATATTATTTCCTCAACTATTAACATAGTTGAGTCCACTTGATAGTATTAGTATTATTCTATGTGGTCAGTAAAAATTTTACCAAGAATAATGCCTAATAAATTATCTCATGCTGTACTTTATGTCATTTATAGCTGAAACTCTTTTTTAGCTTTGTGAATCTTTGTTTCCAGTAAGATCTCCTTTATCTTAAACTTTATCCTCTAAGTTTTACATTACTATGAAAAAGAAAATAACCAAGAAAAATAGTTATTACACTGCCAGCTACTGCATTAGCTATGCAGGAAAACACCTTTCAAGATTCTTTGTTGTTGGCTGTGATCCTGCCACTTACCAAGCAATCTATGCCATTGCCAAGGAGCTACAATTTTGGAAGGTGGACTCCTCAGCTCTTCCTCTGTTTTTTATTTTGAAATCCTTTGAAATTGGCAGATTCATGGGTTAGGTAGGTGAGAAAATTTACTTTTTTTGCTTCTTGGAAAGGTTCTAAATTTTCAAGTAAAAGAGGCTCCCACCACCATTTGGTAATTGCAGCTAGTAATTGTCTTGTTTCTTCTTTTCTTCCTACGATGCTGTCAAGCATACTCATGGAAGGAACGATTCTATTTCTCCTGCTTTATATCCTGGATCATTATTTGTTGTAATTTTTGATGTTTTTCTGGCAAGTCTTGATGTAGTCTGTTGAGTTTTTTTTCCCCTCTATAGATGGCCTCTACGTCATTCTTTTTTTTTTAAAGCAATTTACACATTTAATGCAATCCCAATACAAATACCAATCCCATTCTTCAACAAGATGGAAAAGGCAATCTCCAGTTTCGTATGGAATGGAAAAAAGCCCCGAATAAGCAAAGCACTCCTTAAGAATAGAAGAA